TTTAAACGTCATTACTTTTTTTTTAATTAATCGTTTTTAAATCACGAACTTTTCTATATCTATGGTACGACTATTGCATCTTAAGGGAGAGCCCATTTAATTTCCGGAGGAAAAATTGCAAAACAACGTAATGAAAAGTTCGCTAACAGTGCTTGTTTCATTCGCCAGGTAACAAACGAGGGTCAGCAGAAAGAGAACTAGTTAATTCAGTATTGATGTTCTTCAGGTAAAAATTACTCAGACGTTCCACGGGCGGACTGAACAATGAAGAAAACTCTCTTGTACAAGAGATTCACTGAGATAAAGTCTAAATGAAGTTAACGGTGCCTCGCGGTTCTACATTATTTACATCGGAATTTAAACAGTCAGAGGCAGCAGGTTCGTTGCCGGGATTTCGTATCTATTTGCGATCGGAAGATACCCTGGGAGTTTCTAGTTTTCCAATTAGCAACTTCCGGATGTTTCGAATCAGTTGACGTTAGTTTAACGAATACGATTTAATTTTTCCAAATGAGAATTCATGAGAAACATTTTGATGAGCGTTTTAATATCTGTTCAAATGCGGGCAAAAGTTATCCCGTAACATAGTATACCTTTAAAAAGTTTCTACGAGTTTTTATAGATACTATGTAAACGTTCCATAACCGTTTCTCTAATTTTCCGAGAATTATATTCACATTTCTGATGGTTCTTCAGATATAAAAATTTCATTTATAGCGCTAGGATCAACTTTTCATTTTAGCTGGTAAATAGTTCTACTGAAAGTTCGGATTTTTAAGCAAAAAACGCAACTCTTTATCGACAAAAACAATTATGCCGCGGCGTATGGTACTTATAATTAAAAACAACTTCGTCAGATTTACTCGCATTCGCACTGGCCGTTCAAAATTAACGCACGTACATTTAAGTATTTAATAGCGAAATAACCCAATGCAAACTTTCCGGTTCAACGATAAACACACAACACGTCCACCTAAGCTGCCCTACATCCTCTCACGAAAGAACAGGCCGGAAGATTAATGCATTTTATAATAACTCAATTATTATCAATTATGTAATACCTGTTTAAATTTGTGGTAGGCACTAATGCCTCTATTGTTAATTTGGTTTACGTAACACAAATGCACAAACAAATAAATAAATAAATAAATAAACCTTGTCTGGTGGTGACGTGATAACGATTTTCGTCGATTTTTTTATCGCGACACATAAACCAACAAACGCACGATTATTCGTTGAAAATTGACGCGACCGCGAGACACGTGAAACTACTGCGGTGACATACCAAGCATTTAGAACGCGAATGTTATCAACGCGCTTTGTCATTTGCACAGGCGAGCTGATAATGTCAGTGTTTCGATCGTGTTTTCAAATATTTGCTTATTATGTAAGCAGGTTCGTATTTGTAAGTCCTTGAATAATCATTATTTATAATTATCATTATGTAACTTTATCATGTTCTTCAAAAAACGGAAAAAGGAATAATCAAGTTATNTTACACAAATTAATATTTCGATGAAATATTTTTGTAACTTTCAACAGTTAAATTCTAATTTGCAATCGTGGAACTCTTTAATCTACGAATATTAATGCTTCCTTAATTATTTTGCATTTGTGAGTTTGCTAAATATGCGGAAGGTGAATGGGTTAAAACACGTGCATGTTTCCATTTTCAACCACACTGACACATTATACGCATACGCACCTCGTGCTATCTAAAACGAATTATAAAATTACTAAATATTATTTCAAATCATTAATTCACTTCCTCTTACTGTCCCAATATAAAACACAGTGTACAAAAATTAATAAAATTGAATTGAATGAATGTCTTTTAAGGACTTCGTTTAATTACGATATATTTATTTCAAATGCTTATACAATTTTGTTGCACTTACGACAAACCTACAAATCTATGAATAGATTCAATAGTTCTCATACAATTCTTCATTCTTACTTTCTCGTTTGAGAAGATTGAAGAATCGATTCTTAGAATTAATTAATTATAAAATACTGACGACAGGAAAATCACTGTTCAGTTGGTTCAGGTATTCGTAAAATAGAGTAAAAAAAATACAAATTTACGTATCAAATTTTGGAAAGTTATCTGTGCCCTCTTAAAGGCCTTAACAGATCGACGCGACATTCGACTAATTCTCGATAATGGCGCACAATATGTAGACATATACATATGTATAAGGGACGGAAGCATCTGTATTAGTATTCTGTTGTATTGATGATTGTTCCGTCACAGATTAGTGCATCGAGTAGCGATCTGCTATCAATGCGCGCGTAGCACTATAAACCCAATCTAATCCTGATTAGAATCATAGGAATTGCTTTGAAAGTGTTATGCAGAGGCACGCTAATTTAGAACCGGGAATTAGTGTTTATTATTAGCTATTAAACAGTAGTTTGACAAACAATTTACACAGCTCATTGAAAAAATAATTAAATTTCTCCTAACTTCAAAAGCATAAAAAGAAAGTATATTGTACATTACTACATACTGGAAACTTGAAAATAATTTTGATAGAATCATGTATGGAATAACTCATCTATCGTTGTCTCATACCTGGAACATCATCTACCCTCCCAGCAGATATTTTTTATAGGAAAGGTAATTAAACGATGCTAGGAAGGCATCGATTACATTTTACCTGGAGAATCTAGATATTACCAAATTGTAATATAAATTCGAGCAAACGATCAAAGGATCTTGGTGACATCGTAGAATTAATTAGCGGCATCGTCGCATGGGTATGATACATCGCATTGTTTTACGATCAAACGCAATATTGCTTTGCACGGCAATAATCATTCCGCGTCGCACCGTTTTGCCGCACGGTAACACACGTTTCATTGGGAAATTTAATGGTTCGTCGCTTATTTTCCGCAGCAATTTATGGATCGCATTTAATTGTCCATTAATCGGCCACTTCTTGTCGGAAATTAAACTGTATCAAGCGTTAATGCGATTGTTAATTAATACGGAATTTCGAATGCTGAGCTTGCATCGTAAAATAATGATACTGCAAACAAATCTTTCATTAATTCTTCTTTTCCCGAATCATCTTTATTTTAACATAATTTTGTAAATGAATATAAAAGAATGTTTGCATTATTTGAATTTTGCTGCAGTGGTGAAAGAACAAGTATTCGATCGATTCATCTGACAAAAAGAGAGATCTAGAGAGGACAAACACAAACCGCTTTGAACTAATAAACGAAAGAGAAACTGGTAGCAATTTCTGGAAAATCACCGCGACGGAAGTCGTCGTCTTCTAAAATTAACAGTCACAAATTCAACGCTGTGTCATTCTCGACTTCGAAGAGGAAAAGAATTTCCAGTCACAGCGCTTCCGCTGGCAACAACTTCGTGAAGTTTATCGTTCAGCCATGTTGCAACAATATTCAACTTTTGCCTGGAGGCTCCGCGAAAACTTCCGGTTCCCGGCCCGTCGAAATCGTGTCTCCGGTGCTAGTTAGCCTGGTAACTTTTTTTCACTGGATAGTCTCAGCGTAACGGAACGCGTATCCACTTTGTGTCATTATCAAGAACGCTTTACGGGCGATTTGAAGCAGAAACTTTTAAGCTGCTACGGAATTCGACTTTGAGCAGGACGATATGGGCTGATACTTGTCGGTGAGATAAAATAAATATGTTTGGAAAATTATTTAAAATAAATAAATAAGGATAAATAAAAGGATAAAATAAATATGTTTAAAAAAAAAGAATGGTTTTCATGATGCACGTTCTTAATTCGAAAATATTTTTAGTCAATTCTATATAGATAAGGTATTGAAAACGTTTATCACACCAGTTAAACAATAAACGTATTATCATTGCTTTGCATGCTTATCTAGTATTATTTACGTATGGTTTGTACAGCCATTGTTCAGTAACATAATAGACATAATAGAACATTCGACGTTAGTATAACATTAATTTTGGATGCCTTGCCTGGTGTTGGAAATCCTGATTTATTGATAACAGAATAACGCCATACGGCAATCGGTTTATTCAATGGCATATGCGACGGTCGCCGACAGTGAATCAATGTGTGGAAATTTGGGGGATGACGGCTGTCTAATCGAAATTAGATTATACCTGCTGCATATTAGTGTACTCTGATTACCGAAGTCAAATTGGTTCTCGATACCATTTTCGACGCAACATATCTACATATGGCTTTATTAACGCCTATCGTTACTGAAAACAAGAAATAATGAAAGAATTTTTCAGGAACTTTTTATAATTCCTTACAATCGATTTTCATTATCTTTTACCCAAAGAAATGTAGAAGAAT